TAAAAATATGTCTATATGGACCATATCATGCTTTAATTACAAATGGCATCAAAATCCGATTTTTTAAAAACATTTAAGCATGCGAAAAATCAAAATCTCGTAGGTTTTTTTTTACACGGACCGTATCCCCCGTGTAAAAAAAGACCTGAGTGTATTCAAAATAAGTTACATCAAAATAGCAAATTATGATTTCTATTTGATCTCCAGCTTTGCTCGGGTAGTGTGCATAAATATTCTGTACTGCTACACTTCCAGATTCTGATTTTATAGAAGGGTGGTGTCTTCTGCAAAGTCGATTAGGATGACAAGGGCTGTTGGGCGGTAGACAGATCAATTCGAACCAGTAGGTGTAGGTATTATGTTGGTACTGCTATATAACAAGGCCCTGATTATTAAGAAGAATGATGTGTTCGGCAAAGTTGATCAGAAGTTCAAGGGTTGCTAGGAGGAGAGCAGATCAATTCAGAATACTCCTAGTAGGTGGCGCTAGAGAGCATGCAAGTCAACGATTTTTTGACTATTCATTGACTGATAGAAACTTCACATTATGAATTACAATCGTGCTCATCGCGTGCAACATTCAGAGCCTGAGAATTAATGAAGGTTAATATTGGTAGCAAGCTTGCGATTGCTCAGCTGGATTATTCAAAGTACGTTATGGGGATTATATTTTTGTAAATTAAGTAGAAAGTTGCGCTAATGAAAGGTGGTTCGATAACATAAAACGCACTTGTGTGGAATAGCATGTATTTTAATGGACCCTAGAACCTAGTTAGATCTAATAAAATCTAACCTCTGATCGGGTTGGTGCATCGCTACAGTAGAGAGAAAAAATATGACTCTCGTTGTTTAAATAGAGACCTTACAGGCACCTTGAGTATCGGATATTAAATGGGATGTAAATAGTTAAATATTGACTTGATTACCTAGAGTGAAGCTTATGAAAATTGAATAATCTTCTTGAATAATTGAAGCTTGGGTAATCTATGAGAATTAAGAATGAAGGACGACTGGATATTGATTCCGGTGTACTTAGAGAAGCATAGACTTGTCTGTCTAGAGTGAAAATTTAGAGAACTGAAGGAGTATGAATGATCTTGATGAATGATAGAATGTTTGGCTGTGTTTAGTTGATCCAGATATATTGCGATTGACTTAATTGAATTCAGTGTAATTTTTTATTATTGTAAAAGAATTAGGGTTGAAAGAGTTTTACTTAATTATTGAAATTCTACATTTTTATTGCTTAAGGCCCGAAAAGCTGAGATAATCAGCAACTAAATTAATTATTATAAAGGATTATTATTATGGATTGTCGTGAATTGACCGAGGTTTCCACAGCTCCGAGCTATTTGCCACAACAATAGGACTCAAAAATAACGTAATTGTTTAATTTTATATTCTAAATAATATTAAATTAAATGTTTTGATTACGAGCAAAAATTCTCAAAAAATTCTTTTTCAATTCTTTATTTTGGTTTACAACTAATTAAGCGTTTTGAAACGAGAGATATAAAAAGTACTCTTGCTTTCAGTACACTAGTGATCCTTTCCTGAGAGGCGGGTTTGGTGTCTTCAAGAATCCTAACCTTCCGAAAATTACAATATTATACTGCATTCATATGCATTTAGTGTCCTTCATCCAAGAGCGTAAAATTATTTACTGCTTAGGCTGTTCAATCCATAGGGTTTTTGATCTGATTTCCGTCCTACTAAGCACAACCTGCGCTTTACCGATTTTTTTTTAACGGCTTTGAACAAAAAATAGAATATTTCTATCAAATATGACTTTAAATTTATTCATAAATTTGATTTGATAAAGAGTCACAAATTGTTGAGATATTGTTTAAAATCTTATACTGCTTCTTGATTCTAAATTCGTCCTACCAGTTCCAATTGCATCCTAATGCATTGAAACGCCAATAGAATTTCTTCGTCCTAGCGATAAACGTAGAAAAAGGAAATTTGCTAGGAGCGCTTCTTTTGTTTTGAGAACAATGAGCGTAAATATTCATACAATGCGCTCTTATAGTATTTATGTTGTAGCTAATGAAGTAACGCATCGGAACAAACCTATTATTGATTTGTGTACGATGAAATCATTGATATTATTGACCTTTTCTGATCGATAGAACGGAAATGGGCGATTATGACGAAGTAGCGCTCTACCCTACACAGCTAAAAAAAAGTAGTGTAAATTTCCGTTACTATGATGCACATAAATGGAGCGTCATATATCATACAAGTTTAGATTATAGATCGTGTAAATTTATGAGACATGTCACGCAATATTCCATATATTGTATGCAACTGTCCACTTTTGTTTGCAACATTTCTTGCAAGCTGCTAGTTTACGTGAAAAGGAAGTTTACATGTATGAATGTTTGCATGCATGGATGTTTACATCGCACGTAAACTTCAGAATTTTTTGGTGTGTACCGTTTGTACCAAACAGTAAAGGATGAGGCAATGAAAGAGCCAACAAAACCATTCAGTCACTCACGATCAGGCGACTCACCCCGCTTGTTTTCGCTCACACACCATGTAATTGAGGCATTTTTCCATAGAAAATGTACACTCAGTCATTCAAAACAAGGATTGAGTACCATCAAGAAAGAATAAGCGTGCTGTCTGAGCTACTGACTGAGTGCTCGGCTGTCAGTGACTCGTTTACTTCTCAATCATTCAGACTCTCACGAGGCAGTGAATGATGAGGCAGATGGCAGTTCATATTCATATGAAAATGACTCATTGAACCTGACTGTTTTGCGCACTGCCTGAGGGACAACATTTGAACTGCTGAAGATCTTCTCATCGCTTTCGGACTCGTTTCATGTGACCTTGGCCCGATCAGTACTACCGGATTATGCCACGATTGGGAAGATCCGGCTACCTGTGTGCTTGTTACCATAGGAAATGAACTGCATGAAATGCAAGCAACAAGCGCACACCGCAGCCTTCTGTAGCAACAAGCCACGCTGCGATCAGTATGGGGAGAACAATACGGAGAGTTCTTGTCGTGTGTCACCCCAAAATGTCCTTTTTGTTTGGAAATTCCACATGCTCTCACGATTGTCCAAGGTACAAAAGCAGGGAACTATGAACTAAGAAAATGTCGTGACATTTATTCCCCATATAATTTCTATGAAATTTACCACCTCTGACCTCGATTAACCCGCGAGTATTCGGCCCCCTCTTGCACTAACTCTAGTATTAAGAAATATTGTAATAAGCAAATATCAGTTCCGCAGAGCTATATTTCTTTCAAATGATATTATTTAACCTATTTTAAATGATTTCGAATTCGTAAACGGTTCAGAAAATGTAAACAAAAAGGGCTGCTCGTCAGAAAAGCTTTGACTACAATAGGGGACATTTACCGGCAACCATTCTGAGGTTTACTGAGAGTTTAAAAATGAGCAGAAGGACGCAGAATTTATGTTGAAGCTATTCTGCAGGTTGAAGGCTTACTTCATGCAAACCATTGCACTCAGCTTCTGCTAGATGTACGGGAGCGTATTGGCAGCAATATTAGAGACAAAATGTAATGTTTTCTAACGTTGTAGATAACATTTCACAGTTCTTTGAGTACCTTTCGCGAATACGCTAACAGTGACAATGAGGATTAACATACACAATTACACTCAAAAATTCATCAATTTATTCATTCAATCCAACTCCAGTCGTCTAAATGAGCCATCCAAACCAAAAAATGCTTGCTTGCTCGTTGGCGATAAAACCGTAGGTGATTGTGGTGCTGATGACATTGAGCCTTGCTTTGCCTGATTATCGCACAAGTCTGCCATTTCGAGTAGGTAGCCACGATTTTCCTTGAGTTTCGTTTCCCACTGGTCCATGATGTTTTGTATCGGTCCTAGAGTGCCACCATATTCCTCTGGCAGGATACTTTTTGGAAAATGTTCGTGTAGAGACTCTAAGCTGCTTCCATGTGCATATATCTATAAATACAAATAGTTAATATTCATTCTCATGTTTTGATTACAACAAAAGTGCACCCTTTTGTCTTTATTTTTCGAAGAGAGCAAGTTGTTGAACATGTTCAATACAGATTGCATTCCTGGTGGGGGATTCAGTGTATGAATTCCTTGCATTCGAAGAGGACTAGCATCCTGGTACAAGATGGCTACTTGCTTCAAGAACTGAAAGTTGAACTGAAACAGATGGCTTGCTGTTACACCCACCAGATCAATGATCAAAGCCATTCCACAAATGACCATTTGATCGTCATCCCTCATAAGCACATCGTTGATTAGAGTTCCTACTTTTATCACATCTGCAAAAATAATCTTTGACAGGTCGAATTGTGCCACTCGAATAACAAATATCTTCGGGTCGGTTGGTTTCACCGTTTTTGGAAGAGGAATCCCCACGCTACGAAAATGTCATATGAATCGAAAGCATTATAAATTCAGTCTTTAAATATTTACCCCAGGCGAATCACTTCCAAAACATGTTTGTCACATGGATCCCTGTTTTGAATAACCTCAGGCAGCATCGTTCTGATCCAATAAAACAACGTTAACTTTTCTTTCACTTTTTCCAAACTAAACTTGCACCCCCGTAGAAATGACAACAAAATTTGATCACCGAGCAAACCATGAAGGTTGTTACGTTCTTTCAACCAATTTCGTATCACACCCAGATGACTTTCCAACTGTCTAGGATCTTCGCTTAGTTCGTTCTTTGCTACCTCAGCCAAGTCGGCGGATGTTGGACGCAACGACAACATATTTTTCACTACTGTTGTCGTGGTCAGTTTGCACTCAAAGAAGTCATACAAATCCACGGCAATGGCATTTTAAATCCTCGTAATAGCTCATTTAATTGATAAAGCTTATCTTATAGATAAATTACGTGATTGTTCAAATCATTGATTATGCCTGGCTACTGAAGTGTGAATTTGATAAAAATTGCACACACATAAACAGCTGTAACTTTTTAACTATCATACAAAATGACTTGAAACTTTCAGTGAAGATTGCTTAGTCCTTGACGTACACACGTAATTCTTACGAAGGTTTGAGAGGTGTTTCATATCGAGTAATAGTCATGAGAACAACATGCTTTCTCAAACATTTTGTACAGTCTCATATTCTAAATCAGCAGGAAACTCTTTTGTCATTGATGCTATTGACTCATGGAATCAAACCAATATTTCAAATACTGCGCAAAAATCTGAACCCTTAAAAATCAATCCTTGTATGCCAATCAAAAACAGTTATTTCATCACACGCTAAAGATTTCTAATCCGTTAATAAACTGAACAAGGAATGGAAAAAAAGTAAAAATTATCAAATTTTTGATATGTTTTCCACCACACAATTTGTAAGTCAAAAAAACCCCAAGTCAAAGCCCGTATTTGGATCATGATATGTTTTTACTTGTTAAGTACTCTCAAAAGAATTTTTCTGAAAACTTAAAGTTACTTGGTTAAATAGTTAAAAAGGTGTAGTGTGTGCAACTTTTATAGAATATTGTAATGAATCTGGTGAAGCCTGCTTCCAGTTTATTTGCAACTTCTCTTCTCCTTCTTCTTCTATGCGTTTTACGCTTCTGTAGTGAGTGTTTTGCTGGCTCTCAACTTAGTGTTCTAGATGCACTTCCACAGTTATTATGGTGAGAGTTACCTAGTAAGTGAATGAATATTAAAAAAATGGTAATCTCTGCGACATCACTTTAGATTGCAAAAAGCTTTCGTCGATGTTTTCCTTTTATTATTTCGCACAAAAAGACGAGACCTTTTTTCAGACCGAAGTGAAGTCTCAAACGTTACCATTTTTGAAATTATCCTATTATTCCTTTCGAGGAGAGAAAATTACATTACTTGTTGATATATTTATTTATATACTTGTAAATACATATTCAATCAGATTCGGAATCTTAGTAATGAGGGAGTTTATTGGTTCGCGAGTCCTCGCCTTAGGCTGGATTTGTTGATTTAAATCTATTGGTTTATTTTCAGCTCTTCGATGATGGAACATTTTTGGATTAATATTATAATGAATCACTGCGTTCGGGCGCGGCCAGCGCTGGTATTGCCTAGTTTGAGATCACCAGTTTTTACACATTGAGGATGATTGCTAGTCCCAAGCATTGTCTATTGGTTCTCTATGTAATTACAGCTGATCTGGCAATAACTGAGTAGCAACCGTGGGCGGTCATTCATGGTCATACTTATGCTCATCAGCAGATTCATTTCAAATGACGATTTTTTTTTTTAATTTTTTGATCGACCTTCTACGATTATGTTGAAACTTTGCACAGTTGTTTGTTATTGTCCAACATGCCATTTTACATATTTGGTTCCCTAGTTTTGTACACGACTAACACGTGAAAAGGGCTTATGCAAAAATGATAGCATCAATAGAAAAACATATATCTTGCGAACGATTTGTTTGATTGAGATGGTGTCTTCGAAGAAGATGCGGACAAGTATTGTGCCCTTCAAAAAAAAAATAAACACTGTAAAAAATTATATTATTTTTTACAAAAAAAAATCAAAATTATCAAAAAAAATTAAAATTACTCAATTTTTTTATTTTTTTTTTTTTTTTGTAGTTTAGATAAAGTAATATCTACTGACACTGTGCATTTGCTGGGCAAATCATAAACAAAAAAGTTATGAATTGTTGAAAAAAAAGTATTTTCCAAAATATCACCTACAGTTATCGAATATCTTTAAAATAGTGTTAATATTAAAACACATTAAATTTACAAAAAAAAATCTCATAGTGCTTAAATTGCCCAAAGTTGTTATTTTTGAGATACTCGTAGGTTAAAATTCACTAGTCGCATAATTTAGGCAATTTTCACTCTTTTGAAATGTTATTCAGGAGTGTTCAATCTTGAAAGTATTTTTAACAATTAATTTTCTTAAACTTTGCTGTTCAAAATTTTTCAATCATACGCATGAGCGTATGGGAAAAGTGTATTTTTCTATTTGGCCCCATATACGGCTAGATAGTTTAGCTTAGCTTAAAGGGTGATACGGTCAAAATTTGGTCAAGGGAAAACGCGTGTAAATCGGTGAAATCGTTTATTTAAAAAATCAAATTAAATTTCTTTTTCAAGTTCAATTAGTATAAAATTCAGGAAAAATATTCAGTTAGGCTTCCGCTTTTCCAAATCCGAATTGCCGGGCCTTACGCTTGACTCCTGCCATCAGATTTTGTACAGCCACCTTGTCCACCTTCTTCGCCGCAGAAAGCCAGTTTGACTTGAACTGCTGCTCGCCCTTAGCAGTTTTTTTGGTCTTCTTTAGGTTCCGCTTGACAATAGCCCAGTATTTCTCAATTGGGCGGAGCTCTGGCGTGTTGGGAGGGTTCTTGTCCTTGGGAACCACCTGCACGTTGTTGGCGGCGTACCACTCCATGGCCTTTTCACCGTAATGGCAAGATGCCAAATCCGGCCAAAACAGTACGGAACAACCGTGTTTCTTCAGGAAAGGCAGCAGACGTTTATTCAAACACTCTTTCACGTAAATTTCTTGGTTGACAGTCCCGGAAGCTATGAAAATGCTGCTTTTTAAGCCACAGGTACAGATGGCTTGCCAAACCAGATATTTCTTTGCGAACTTTGACAGTTTCATGTGCTTGAAAACATCTGCTACCTTTCCCCTTCTTTTTGCCGTATAAAACTCCTGTCCCGGAAGCTGCTTGTAGTCGGCTTTGACGTAGGTTTCGTCGTCCATTACCACGCAGTCAAACTTCGTCAGCATCGTCGTGTACAGCCTCCGGGATCGCGCTTTGGCCGTCGTATTTTGTGTATCATCGCGATTTGGAGTCACTACCTTCTTGTAAGTCGATAGTCCGGCTCGTTTTTTGGCTCGATGCACGGTTGTAGACGATACACCCAGCTTATTTGCGGCATCTCGGAGAGAGAGGTTAGGGTTTCGCTTGAAACTACCGGCAACTCTCTTTGTCGTCTCAGCGGCTTCCGGTTTTCGATTTCCCCCCGATCCAGACTTCCTGGCTGTCGACAAACGTTCCCCAAACACTTTAATTACATTTGTAACGGTTGATTTGGCAACTTTTAGCGATTTTGCCAACTTTGCGTGCGAGTAGCTCGGATTTTCGCGATGCGCGAGCAAAATTTTGATACGCTGCTCTTCTTGCTTGGACGGCATTTTGACAACTGAAGAGTGAATTCCAAAATCAAAATAGGAGCAACATTTTACACACACACACCTTCAAAATGAGGGGTGTTCAGGTTTTTTAAATGCAAAATTGAAAGAAATACGTCAAGTTGATATTGACCAAATTTTGACCGTATCACCCTTTAACTCATGCGTATGATCAACTGTAACTACACAGAGAACCAATAGACGATGCTTGGGACTAGCAATCATCCGCAATGTTTACTTCTTCTTAAAGTCGATCTCTGATCCGCAATCTAGTACCAATCACCGACGGACATCGATTGCCATCCATTGACGGCAATTGAATGTGCAGGAAGGCAGTTTCCACACCTGCGTAGGATATCGCACCCATTCAACACACATGGGCCGGGACCAACGGCTTTACTTCCTTTCCAAAGAAAGACGTGACCAGAGATTTTTATACCTCAGAAAAATTCCACCGATCTCGGCAGGGATTTAACCCAGACCCATTGGGGTGAGAAAGCAGTCACGCTTACCACTATACAGCCGGCACCGGCTCCTCAATGTTTAAAAACTTGAGATCTCAAACTAGGCAATACCAGCGCCGGCCGCGCCCGAAGGAATGGATAGAAATCTGTTGACGTGACTCGCTTTGATGGAAGCCGAGAACACCTCTTCCACGAGGAATCACTGGGATATTAGTTATATCTGTGTACGTTCTCAAATGCAGTCAATAATGTATCCCAAAATGGATCAAGCGTGCACTCTATTTTTCTAAACGTTCCGAAGCGTTCCGCCCAAGATCTAACAGGTACAATTTTCTACAATAGGGGCCTGGGATAAATTGTAATGTATTTTCCTCACAAGACTCAACTATGTTCTTGCAAACGGATGCATACCTTACCGACAGTATCGCTTTTCTTGTGTTCTATCTAAAACTGCAAAACAGATCACACGCGATTGAGATCAGGATTGTTCTTAACTGGGACAAAATAAGCGTAAACAAATTTTGGAAAATTTCGAAAAGAAAGAAAAGGAAAAATACACATAACCACATGAAAGCAGATGAATAGGGAACATGGCACTCTTTCTAATGCAACAGCCACCACCATAAAACCTCCATCGAACTTTTGGTATCACAGCACATTATAAACTGCGACAATTATAACCGATACGGAAGAAGGGTATTACCTAGGGGCACGAACGGAAGGTTGACGTAGGACCGCTAGTGGACGGAACAAATATGTTGATCATTTAGATCTTAACTTTTTCCGGTTTTTGAATTGGTAGCTCTGAAAAGGGTCGATTGTTTTTCAAATGGTGGCCACACCAGTGCAAGTCGATGCCGAGCCGATGACGGTGGCCTAGTCATGCTGCGTATTGCGGGAAGCCTTTCCTTCGGTCAATGTGGGTACTTCCGTAGTCGTCTCAGTGATGTCACGCATACAAATTTAACTGAAATGATACACATTTTTCTCAAAATTTTGAAACAGATATCTGTATATGCATATCACAGATATATATTTTTTTTTAATATACAGATTTTTCATAGTTGACGATGCTAATTTCAAATAACAGACTAAAGTGGTAATTTTCACACGATAGATGGGGAGATGAAAGTATAGAGTTGATAGATCCGTTAGAGTACGGCAGTGTGAAAATTGTGT